CCCCAAAACCCCAAAACCCCAAAACCCCAAAACCCCAAAACCCCAAAACCCCAATCATCCCATATTATGTTGAAGCATAAAATTCCCAAAGCGAAAGCTGCTCAGTTTTAGTATGGATACTGAAACTTGTAAAGAATATTTTAGAAGAGTATTCTGCTATTCCTTAATTATGATGATATCAAGAAGTTGAGTACTGTTTTCACTGAACTTTTCCCGCTCAGCTTGAATATGTTCTGCTAATTCTGGGATTACTTCAAAGCAAATTTGAGACCTTTCTTTGGCATAGTTTAATCAGTCTAGATATGTAAACAAGCTCAGTTAGGATTAATTACCTGCAAACTTTAGGATCCCTTCACTTTGAGAGATGAAATCACCTAGAGTTATCACCTTAGATTCAAAGTATTCGAGGTATTCATTATAGAATGTGCGAATCATTTGGGTAATGATCTTTTGAAGCAAATCAGGATCTTTCTCAAGTGTCATAGCCAGTGTACTCATAGATTCCTCCAGCTTGCTGACAACCTGGTCGAATTCCTTACTTAAATCCTTAGGCTCAGTTGTGTATTCTTTAAAGTCTTCTTTGATGAGCTTGAGCCTTCTTTTAGGCTTCCCAGTCCCAAAACAACTTGTATTAATAGTTTTCGTGATCTAAATTTTGTTAAAGAATTTACTTTCACAGCTGCTGCTTTTGCATATGCAGACGAACTATCATTGATGTGTTGGAATAAATGAGACTCTATGAAGCCATACACGATTGGATTAGCCTCTAACACTCTTGCCTTGAGGTCTCATAGATAAATGATATTATTCGAGTCCTGTCCCAGTCTCTCTATCAAGACTATCAATACTTCTGTAAAGTGCTTTAGAATGGAGTTAACCCACAGGTCTTTATAGATATTGTTATCGAAATTCAGAGCTTTCTCTTCTACTTGATGCTCAGCCTCCTCCAAAGCAGTAGTGAAGAGCTTAATAATATCTTCTGTTCATTCTCTGATCTGAATATTAGCTTTGTTCTCTTTGTTTAGTAATTTTGAGAAGAGGATTTTTTGAATTCTCTGTTTCAGCAAATCCTTCTTAATGTTATACTTCTTATGAATATACTCCTGAATTTCATCTTCAGAGGGATGATCACCAAGCAATAGCTGTATTTCATTAGGAGTCTCTTTGCCTTCCTCTATCTCTATATTCAACTTTTGATGGATTTTTTGAGCAAGGATGTCTACTTCGTTCTTTACTAGGCATAAAATTTCTGACTCTTCATCATAAATATGTTCATTAAAGTGCTTTATCAGCTTCATTGCCATTGTAGAATCATTCTTATGGATCAATGTATTAATAGTGGTCGGCAATCTGGCAATCTCAAGCATGTCGTCAAGGTGGAGCCTTGAGTTGGTATGAATTTCTTTATCCTCTTTGAGCTTATTCATCTTGGTGAACCTGCACTTTTTCTCCAGTTCTTTCATTAGATCAGCAAGATCATTATTAGCTTGCCTTAAAGCTGGGATATCTTCTGAAAGTTTCTTATACAGCTCGATAATTGAGATAGTATGCTGAATATCTGAGGATAAATCTTTGTTAAACTCATTATTTCAGATCATCCATCTGGACTTCTACATTCCTCTGGTGATGCTTCAGAGAATCAACACTGTATGATAACAAGTATGGCATGAACTCAGTGATCTCCCTTCTTTCATCCTTTGTAATTTTGGTATTTTTGGCTGACATTATTGTATTTAAATTATCAATTTTGTTCTTATATTTTGGGGTTTTGGGGTTTTGGGGTTTTGGGGTTTTGGGGTTTTGGGG